CTCTCTTCCTCTTTCTCTCTCTCTCTCTCTCTCTCTCTCTCTCTCTTACTCTTTCTCTCTCTCACGCTCTCTTAATCTTTCTCTCTCTCTCTCTTTCTCACTCACTCTCTCTCTCTCTCTTCCCTCCCTCCTCTCCCTCTCTCCTCACACACACGCGCGCTAACTACCCCAACCCCCACCCTGACCCACTCACACCCTCCCCGCCCCTAATCCCCACAAAGCTAAATATCCCCCAAGTTATAACTCGAGGCACGCGCCCTCCAGGTCCGCCTTTTGTCTCCTGCGCCCTCCTCGTGACTGAGGGAGAGGTCAGTCATAGTCATGTGAGTTCTCGGGGGTTTCGTCTTGGGAGGCTCGGAGGTGCCTGTGGGCTGGGGGTGGTGTTGTCGTATATATGTTTTTGTATGATTTGTTCTCCTTTTTTTTCTCTCTTTTGTTTGTAGGGTTTTTTTTCTCTCCCTCTCCCTCTCTTTCTCCCCCCCTTTTCTCTCTATCTATCTCTCTATCCTCCCTCCCTCTCTCTCAATCTCACTCTCTATCCCCCCCGCTCTCTCTTGCTTTCTCTCTCTCTCTATCCCTCCCTCCCTCTCTCTTTTTCTCCCCCCCTTCTCTCTCTATCTCTCTCTCTCCATCCCCCCTCTCTCTCTCTCTCTTTCCCTCCCTCCCTCTCTCTCCTCCCCCCCCCAATATCCACCTCACCCTCGACCTAACCTCCTCCTCCTTCTCTCTCCTCCAGAGTGGCAGCGACTCCTCGGTGGCCGTGGGAGGCGAGGACCAGATCACCTACTCGTGGCACAACGTCAATGTCTACAGCAACCCGAGGGCGAGGTCCAGCAGGTCGCTCTTCAGCAGGAAGAAGCAGGAGTCGAGCGAGAAACACATTCTTAAAGATGGTTCGTGGTGATGGTGGGGTTTTTAGGTTTGGTTGTTGATCGTTAATTGGTTGTTTGGTTGGTAGTTCGGTAGTTAGGGAATAGGCATTCTGGTGTTTGTTTATTCCTGTTATTCCTCTCTGAAAATGTATTTTCTCTAAAACAGATTTGAGAATTGTGGGATGTTTCTACATGCGAGCGAGTATAACACACATCCAGGAAAATGCTTCCAAAATATTTTGATATTCAGTGCCGTGGGTGATTCATGCCCAGGGCGATGTGGAGGGATGGTACGGTTAGTTTAGTTTAGTGTTAAGAGTTTGTATGCTCTCTCGCTTGCAGCTGCCACCTCTGGCTAGCCTGGTGTAAAAAGGGAGCAGGTAATCCTAAGCCTTTCTTGCCAGCATATAGTCTCCCTGTGACCACCGATGGATACCGGATGCCTTGTCCTAAGCTATAGCAAAGAATCAAAAGGAGCAACAGGACATCCTAGAGGTATGAAGCCATGTCCCATTAGTATGCGGGAACACCTTCATAACAATTCCCGCCCGCCGCCCCTTGATCCTTGGGTGGCAGTTCTTCCCAGTCTGCCTCCCCTCGGGACCTACAGGTACCAATTAGAAGCACCATCAAGCAAATTGGGCTGTGGGTCCCTCAGGGAGGGCGGCCACCAGGCTGTGGTTGGGAGCGAGGGAAACTTGTCTCTCGTTTAACCTTTTCCGGGTCGTCCCCTGCAGCTTGTGGGGCAGTGCCTTGGGGAATCCCGTAGGCTTGCTAACCCTAATGCCCGCCTCTATTATGGGCAATGCTAGAGAGGATGGCAGAGGTGGCAACCACGCTGCGTGACTGCTCGGGGCATCGCCTCGGATGGACTGTCCGGTCGGGGGAAAGGAACACCTGCTCTTTGTGTTAGAATGATCTACTGTCTCTGCAAATGAGGAAACTGCAATGGTTGAAGGTGCAGGTGACCGCTCTCTTAGGAGGGTGAAGACCTGGCAGCGGTATGATTAGTGGGGGTCGTTTCGCAGTATTACTGGTCGGCCAACAGCGATGAACACGATAACCATAACCATCTCCTGCAAACTTTGGCCGTTGGTAGTATCGGTAGCTCCGTCGGATATGTTTGTAATGGCACTGGCTTCATTTCTTATGGATGTGTATGTTCTTTTCGGCGTATATAACCTTGAAGAATAAGATTTTGTTAACAAACTCATTTCCAAGGCTGATAGCTGTCCTTGATAAGATTTCCGCATAGCATGTTGTGCCATCAAGCTGTGATCGAACTGGCACTGACTTTCCTGTAATGAAAACAGACTCTTTCTTTGGGACTTTAGGAGATACCAGAGACTGAGGATTTATGCCTCATGGTATCACTATTTCAACTCACAGTACTGAACCTGATAAAACAATAAGCAGCAAAAAAGACTGACCTTGAAGAACCCTCCAGAATATAGGGTCTACCAGAGTACCGAGCTACGTGGCACCTTCCAAACACTGGTTGTAGTCGTCCACTTCAACCTCCTCCCCTGTTTATCCAGTAACTGCTCTAGGCTGTTTTACTTGGACAGACTGATGGAGGAGCGTACATGGTCTCTAATCATAGCATACAAGTTGACAGACCCTGAAGCAATGTTGGGAGGACTTTAGTAGCAAAGGACATATTTATCTAATAATTATCTCATGTGTATGCATATTTACACGCCATCACTTTAATTGCAAAACACGATGTAGCTCAATTCCTTTGTGACAACCGAAGAACATGGCGGAATATTCTCTCACGGGCTAGAGAACATATTCTTGTGTGTAGTGCAACTCCGTCTGCCTGGTGACTGGGACTTGCAGTAATCCCCCGCACACAGGATTTACACATTACAGAGAAAAGACAAGGACAACATATGAAGACCCTTTCGTACTAAAATGCCCTACACTAGCAGACCCTGAGACGGTTGAACTCAGAACCCTCTCCACACTGCCTTCGCTTAGGTGTCCAGATCATCTTAGATCATGTTGGGTAGAAGAGCAATGAGTATCTTGAGCAGCTGTTTTAGCCTCAGCTGCTAACAGTTGGCATCAAAGACTATATATGAAAGATAGGAAAGCACATAATACACCGTTAAAATAAATAAATGTGAGGCCCAAAACTTCTTACAGCGCCATCTATTGTTCAGATATATAACTAAAAAAAGAACATTAATTTTTTAATTCTTAATTTCTTATTTTTAAATGTTTAGTTTCAGTTGAAGGTTTGCAGTTTTTTAATAATAAGAGACTCGAAATCTATCCATCAAAGAATTACTTCCTACATATATAAATTTACATGTAATTATATCACTGTACCATTTTTTTTTCTTTTTTAATCAGTGAAGATTTTACATACATCAAAATAAAGTTTTGCACTGTATTTTTAGAATATGACAATAAATCATATTTATCTAATAATAATCTCATGTGTATGCATATTTACATGCCATTATAAAAAACGTTATTGCAGAAAATATGTGTGTTAATACAATGAATACGAACCTAAATTCATACTTTACAACCACTCGGCAGTAATAAATTCATGTTTTTCATTAAATTTTGTTGTGTCATTAAATTAAGGATATACATTTACGTAAAACATTTCCTTATTTGCTTACAAGTCATCACCGATGAAAGTATTAATGAAAGCAGACCCACAATTAGAACAGAAAGCATAAAACGCAAAAAACAAAAAACAATCCCTTTCCTACCATTTTGAATGTGACGTTTCACGATAATAAACAAACAGACGACACATCGCGTACAGAGCGCCATCTATTGTTCAGATATCACACTATCCGCCAACCGCTGGGGCTCATGCTCTCCTCTTTCTTATATAATCTTTGATTAGCATAGATGTGGATGATTTCATGATCCATTGCCTGGTCCATTCATGAGTGACGAACCTCCCTCCCTGACATTATATTGAGAAATTATATTGGGAGAGAGAGAGAGAGAGAGAGAGAGAGAGAGGAGAGGAGGAGAGGAGGAGGAGGAGGAGGAGGAGGAGGAGGAGGAGGAGGAGGAGGAGGAGGAGGAGGAGGAGGGGGGGAGGGGGAGGAGGAGGGAGGAGGATCGACAGGTGATCTCCAAGTTGAAAGGTGATAAAAAAAACTGGTTTTTGCAACTTCCTGGTGAATTCCTGACTCCGGTAGTGCATGTGTGGCTTATGTATTTCATGATGTTCTGGCTGCCATCTGGTAGCGTGGTATCATTTCTCTGGACATGCTACCAGGCAAGGTGCTTCAGAGATGGCCTTCTGAGGCACTAACGACTGAAGCAGTCGGATTTATTCTCAAAAGAATGCATCCTTAGATATTGAGTTATAATTGAGTAAATCATCGGTTACTGGCAGTCTACATGAACCTCAAGAAAGCATTTGACCCAGTGCATTGTGTGTCATTCTTGGAGACTGCAATTAAGAAAAAGCTTATGTACTAGAACTAGTACTGAAGATGCTGTGAGACGTGGTGGGGGCATATCTATCTATCTTTCTGTGAATTCAGGAAAGAGACATGACTATTATCTCGGACCAATCTTTTTAACACGCTTGGACTGGATAGAGGATACAACTCTCATCCAAAATCAGTGCAGAACAACATTAGGAAATATGGAGCTTACCGAACTTGACTTTGCTAATCATTTTGCCGTCTTATATGAGTCTTTGGAGACCCAGATGACAGCGCTTTGCCTCGCTTAAGAGTGACACAAAGCCCTTGAGTCTAGAGGCCTCTTGGACCAAGAACATGATCCACGACTAAATATCTGCTAAAGGAACCTCTTCAGTCGGTGCATATTTTGCAGTGAGGACATCTAGTGTAGTTCATAGTGAAGAGCTGTCAGAAGGAAGGCGGTAGATGGATTGGACTGGTGCCAGGAGCCATGAACTGCCTCAAGAGTATTTTGTGATGCCAATACCTGTGTAGGAGGACGAAGCACGTGTCCTCAAGGCCCTGACACTGAAGGCTTTTGTTGCAGCGAAACTTGAACTGACGCCTTTTGTAACAAACCCTTGTGTCAGAAGGTGGAATATGGTGGACTCAACCACATGGACAACCAACAACTGCACAATGAAAACGGTGTAAGACTTGTAACTTGCACAGTCTGGGACCATCATCTGAAGCTATATACTTGCTTTGGCTCCCCAAGGATGACCTCACCTATCCACTGAGTCCTCTAGAGTCAACCTTAAGTCAATAATAAGAAGGAGGAATATGCAATGACAATGACAACAATAACGAAGGGAATAAGAATTAGAAGAAAAAAACGACAATAATGATGACAATATCAATAAAAAAAAAAACTTTTATCGGTGATTTATTTCTTATCTGGTTCTCATTGCGAGTTCTGAACAGTTTTCTCATATTTTACTATCTGCCATTTGGCCGAGAAGTGATATAATTCGTATTATGCATTCCTTTACATTATTATCTTTGACATCCCACCTGATGGTGATCAATGTTACTACAATTCACGGTCACTAAAGAAGTATGTGGTGCTAAAACTTCCCCTTTCGTTCCTTGTGCTGTGGCAAGTAACCTCCTCTTTCCCCTCGTGCAGAGACGCGCAACCCTCCCTTCTCCCGTCATGCAAGGGTGATAAAACCTTCCCTCTCTCCCCTCTCAGGCAGTGCCACTTACTCTCCTCTTTATCCTCTCACAGTGACGCTTCCTCCTTCCCCTCTCTGCAGTGCCTCTTATCCTCCTCCCTCCTCTCTTGCAGGGACATTCTATTCCTCCTTCCCTCTCCTGCAGGGCGTTTACCTTCCTCTCCCCTCTCCTTCAGTGACACTCCCCCCCCCCCCTATCTCAGCAATGGCGCTTACCCTCCTCCTCTCCTGCACTGACTCTTGCCCTCCTCCCCTCTCCTTCAATGACACTTCCCTCCTCCTCCTCTCCTCTGACACTTCCTTCCTCTTCCCCTCCTCTCCAGTGCCTCTTACCCTCCTCCTTCCTCCTCTCCTGCAGTGACGGGCATCTGTCGTCCCGGCGAGCTGCTGGCGATCATGGGGGCGTCGGGCGCGGGCAAGACGACGCTGCTCAACGTGCTCACGCACCGCAACAACGACAAGCTGCGCATCGTCGGCGACCTCTTCGTCAACGGCCACCGCGTGGACCCCGACTCCCTCACCAGCCGCTCCGCCTACGTGCAGCAGGACGACCTCTTCATCGGCATGCTCACCGTCAGGGAGCAGCTGGTGTTCCAGGTGAGGGCGGGGCGTCTTCTCGCTTGGGGGGCGCTCAGGGACGTTTGAGGGAAGATGGGCTGCGTCTGCGGTGGCGGATGCGGGTTCCTTTATATGAAATTTGTGTGTAAGTGTGTGTGTGTGTGTGTGTGAGAGAGAGAGAGAGAGAGAGAGAGAGAGAGAGAGAGAGAGAGAGAGAGAGAAAGAGAGACAGAGATTGAGAGAGAGAGAGAGAGAGAGAGAGAGAGAGAGAGAGACAGTCAGACAGAGGCACGGCAGACGAGAGAGAGAGAGAGAGAGAGAGAGAGAGAGAGAGATGGGGTGTGGGGGCAGATGGTTTGAGAGAGAGAGAGAAAGAAAGAGACACAGACAGAGAGTGTGTTTGTATCCGTGCGTAAACGTTACATACACATACACATGTTCACATACATGAATCTTCCCTTTTCCAGGCGATGCTGCGAATGGACCGGCACCTGACGTACGACCAGCGAATGGGTCGTGTGGACGAGGTCATCAGTGAGGTACGTGGCTTCGACAAATGGTAATAAATTCAATTCATGATTCATGAGTATCAACAAATATAATTTCTATCTTAACTGGATCTAACGTACTTGGAATTCCAGTTGTCAAAACCGGACTTTCTGTCATGAAAAATGATGTATCTATGTCTAAAAAACATGATAAAATCGCTCCATTGAGAAGCTGTCAAGAACTTAATATCTATATAATACACGAGAAGATCGATTTTGATATTAAATGATGCTACATGCTCACAGAAGCCATTAAGACTCCTTTGGAACAATTCTACTGACATAAAGAAAATTACATTTAAAACCATAACCAACACACCATATCTACTGATCCAATTAAAGTAAATAACCTGTCAGTCATGGATCAGTTACCTGTCATTAAGTCAGTCCTTATAAAGAGTCACCACATAAGACCAGTTAGATTAGAAATGCAATATTGCAAAATAATGAAGGTATCATTATTGCTGTCTCTCCTATATTTTCATATTATGAATTTATATCCATATTTTGTATTTATATCTATATTTATTTTATTCGTGGTCGCATTGTATGTTAAAATCTGAATTTTATTTTCATGGACGTTCCTGTAAATCTCATTTTTCTTTATCCTTATCTTTATCTCTATCTTTATCTTCATCTTTCATTATCTTTCTTCTTTATCTTTATATTTCTTTATCTTTCTCTCTCCTTACCATTATCTATATTTTTCATTATCTTTCTTTAACTTTAACTTTTATTTATCTTTCTTTATATTTTTATCTCTTTACCATTACCCTCATCTTTATCCTTCCCTTACATGTTCCCATCATCTTTATTATCATCCCTTATACATTACCCTTATCTTTATTCCCTTATACGTCCCACCATCATTATCCTTCCCTTACTTATCCCCACCATCTTTATCCTTCTCTTCCCTCTCCCCACCATCTTTATTCTCCCCTCATACATCACCCTCATCTTTATCCTTCCCTTACCTGTCCCCACCATCTTTAACCTCCCCACCATCTTATCCTTCCCTTACCTCTCCCCACCATCTTTATCCTTCCCTTCCCTCTCCCCACCATCTTTATCCTTCCCTTACCTCTCCCCATCATCTTTATTCCTCCCCTTCCCTTCCCCACCATCTTTATTCCTCCCTCCCTCTCCCCACCATCTTTATTCTCCCTCATACATCACCCTATCTTATTTCTCCCTTACCTATCATCTTTATCCTTCCCTTCCCTCTCCCCACCATCTTTATCCTTCCCTCCCCTCTCCCCACTATCTTTATCCTTCCCTTCCCTCTCCCCATCATCTTTATTCTCCCCTCATACATCACCCTCATCTTTATTCCTCCTTCCCTCTCCCCACCATCTTTAATCCTTCCCTTACCTGCCCCATCATCTTTATCCTTCCCTCCCCTCTCCCCACCATCTTTATCCTTCCCTCCCTCTCCCACCATCTTTATTCTCCCCTCATACATCACCCTCATCTTTATCCTTCCCTTCCCTCTCCCCACCATCTTTATCCTTCCCTTCCCTCTCCCCACCATCTTTATTCTCCCCTCATACATCACCCTCATCCTTATTCCTCCCTAACCTGTCCCCACCATCCTTATCCTTCCCTTACACGTTCCCACCCTCTTTATTCCCCCCCTTACCTGTCCTCACCATCTTTATTCTCCCCTCATACATCACCTCATCCTTATTCCCCCTCCCTTCCCTCTCCCCACCATCTTTATCCTTCCCTTCCCTCTCCCCACCATCTTTATTCCCCCCTTACCTGTCCCCACCATCTTTATCCTTCCCATACCTCTCCCCACCATCTTTATTCCTCCCTTCATACATCACCCTCATCCTTATTCTCCCTCATCCTTATCCTCCCTCCGCAGCTCGGCCTGATGAAGTGTGCGGAGACGAAGATCGGAGTCCCGGGCAGGATCAAAGGAATATCTGGAGGAGAGATGAAGAGGCTGGCCTTCGCGTGCGAGGTGAGGATGGGGAATAAAGGGGAGGTAGAGGAAGTAGGAAGAAATAGAGGAAGTAGGAAGAAATAGAGGAAGTAGGAAGAAATAGAGGAAGTAGAAGGAGGAGTAGGAATATATAGGAGAAAATAGGAGAGGAAGTAGAAGTAGAGAAGTAGGAAGGGTGAGAAAAGAGAGGGACTGGTAAGGAGAATGGGGATAAGGGGAGAAGAAGTAGGAAGAGATAGAGGAAGTAGGAAGGGGATGTGGAGAAAGAGAGGAGACTGATAAGGAGAAGGGGAATAAAGGTAGAGGAAGTAGGAGAGATAGAGGAAAGTAGGAAGGAGAGTAGAGAAAGAGAGGAGGCTGATAGGAGGAAGGGGATAAAGGGAGATAGAGGAAGAGGAAGGAGAGTAGAGAAAGAGAGGAGGCTGATGAGGAGAAATAAAGGGGATAGAGGAAGTAGGAAGGAGATAGAGAAGAAGGAGCTGAAGGAGAAGGGGGGGGAATAGAGGAAGTAGGAATAGAGGAAAAGAGGAGACTGATAGGGAGAAAGGAATAAAAGGAATAGAGGAAGTAGGAAGGAGATGTGGAGAGAGAGGGAGATAAGGAGAAGGGAATAGAGGAAAAGGAAGGAGAAAGGTAGAGGAAAGAGAGAAGATAAGGAAAGGAAAGAGGAAGTAGAAGGGGATGTGGAGAATAAAGAATAGAGGAATAGCTGATAAAAAGGGGGAAAGGGGAGGACGTGGAGAAAAAGAGAATAAAGAGAATAATCGGAGACTGGTAAAAAGAAGGGAATAAAAGGGAATAGAGGAATTAGAAGAAGAGGTAGAGATAAAGGGGAATGATAGTATAGATAAGGATTTCAGAGATAATAGAAGAAATAAGGATTGAGAGGAAGACACTAGAAAGAAGGAGAAAGAATAGACATAGAGGCAAAAAATGAAAAAAATATATATGATTTCAGAGATAATAAAGGAAATAAGAATGGGATAAAGACACTAAAGAGAAGAAAAGGGAATAAAATGAGACAGAAATCGAGAAGGTAATGTAACCAAAGGTAAAGACAAGAACAGCAACAACAGCATGGGTATTGCAGTGAGGAAAAGGGGAAATTATGATCTTTAGACTAGTAGACACTCGAAGTGACAGTAGACAACTTGATCCTAAATACACTTAATATTAAGGAAAACTAGAATGGCTATTTTACAATGATGTATGATTTTGTCTACTATTCTTTAGTGATGCATAATTCTGTCTATTATTTTGACCGACTGATGTAATAGATTGGGTGTTAGTTTATGTAGAATTGTAGTCTAGATTCGAGGTGGGTTTCTTCTTCACATGACGTCGTAATTCTTGGAAGTGTAGTTCGGCGAGCTTGTCCTTCGCCCTGTTCCGTCCTGACCGTCTTCCGCCTTCTCTCTCTCTCCCTCTCAGGTGCTGACGA